ATATATATATATATATATATATATATATATATATATATATATATATATATATATATATATATATATATATATATATATATATATATATATATATATATATACAAGAATTGCTCGTTTAAAGGTATAGGATATAAAAATTTTACTTTGTATACTCTATAACTGCATGCTCGTTTGTCAACCTTATTCTATAAAAAGAGTTTAAAAATTGTAAATGCTAAAGTCGAACAAACATAGCATATTGACTGAATCGTGTGGATGCCTTCTTACGTTTACATTATCCGGGTCCCAGCTGTAGCAATTCCGTTTATGGCGTCTCGAAGGCTGCCGATCGTCTCTTGGTGATTAGAGAACGCTTGAACAGCTTGCGACAATTTTCTTGAAAACCTGAAAATTTTAAAATTTAAATGGAAATCTAAATATTTTAATGATATAGTAACAAAAGCGTATACATTCCACGTAATGGTTTGACCGCTCGGTAGTGAAGTGGTTTCGAAACCTAAAAAAAAACTAAAAGGCTAAACTTTTTTTTATAAAATAGAAGTGTCCAACGATATTACAGACCACGTAATGGTTAAGTGGCTTCTGTCGTCACTAACTTTCAGCTGAAAAGCCTATAAAATTTAATTTAAAGCGAACTTAGGGTCAGCCTGATGGTAACTGGCTAATGCAGCCCTTGAACATGGACATCCGCAACCAATTTTAAACAAAGTAAGCTATAAATGCGTTGTCGCTACCGAGGACTAAGTTGGAATGCCTCACAGCCTATAATTATACTTGCTGAATGTTTTCGCTGTTAGTCTATGCGACTCTTACAGCTTCATCTGACTCAGGCAGAAAATAGACTTGCTCTCTATAGCCTTCAGACTGGAACACAGCAGTGCACGCACTGTTATTTGGCTGCAAAAATAAGTGAAAGGGTGGTATCTATCTATAAATAGCAGCACGTAACTCTAGCGTTGAACAAGAGACGGAATGCGACTGGAGAGCCAATCAGAGCAATGTTGTGCGAACGATGCGCACCGCTAATCATAATGTGCTATACCGTCACCGCTAGACTTTCGTGCCGTGAGTTGTACTCAGACAGTCTCTCAGATCGGTCTTCGGCAGAAAAGTAGTCCTATTACCATTAAACAACTATTTGTATTTAATATAATTTATGCTTGTAAAAGGCGCTCAAACAATAAAAAATTAAGTGTCAGCAGCCTATATACCGATACCTGCAACCGCTTCTAAAAAGTCTACATATGCGCTGTCAACTCTGGACACTAAGATAAAATGCCTTACAGCTAGTGATTATACTGGCACTCCACACCGTTTAGGCCATAGCAAACTGTTACCCGATCTGTTACTATCAATCATCGAGTATCTTTGGAAATAAGCAAACATTTGACCGGCCTCTGGCTGATTTTAAGAAGTTTTCCTCTTATTATCATTTCATCCTTTAACTGTCCTCTGTGCAACTCGGAGCGCTCCATTACAAGAAGAATTTACTCTTATAGCAAACATACGATATTGTAGTAGTAGTAAAAATTAGTACCACATATATAGCAATATTATCATTACTTTATTGCCTAAGCTACAGCGATTGAGTTATATGTACTACATACTAGAGAAGCTATTCCAAACAAAAAATGTGACCTACTCTGTATCCGCACATGCGCGGGAAACAGTAGAGTCGCGCATGCGTAGTTGATATAAACGCGCGAAAATTGTCATAACAAATAATTGTTTATTTAGATTGAATTGTTAATCGAGTACATATTTTTTTAATTTTCGTTTATTTCGCATAGTATGTGTTAATTTAATATAAAACTATTATTAGCGCCGCTCCGCACTGCATGAATATAGAAGTCACAACAACAGGTGTACGGATTGCACTACAGTTTAGTTGAACATAGTGAGTGTTCGGAATGCCATATCTTGTGCGTAGTACATATATATCGATGGCTACAGCCAAGTCTTTTAACCTTAGCCATAGTCGTCTTTTACAATATCCACGGAGCGAAATGTAAAATGCTAAGTAGTTAAGGAGTAAATAAGCGGAAATAATTATGTGTCATAAATAAACTCTTTCTCAAAATAGTACCCCAGTAGTTCTAGTGTAACACAGACTACTTTTTAATACAATAGTAGACCACAGTACTGATAAATTAGTGGAGTTTTTAACTAGCTTATACGTGATAGAGCCATGCTGCAGTTATATTAGAAGTATAATTGTAGCACGAATGGATCGGCTCGACCGGGGAAGGACCACTCTCTCACAGAATACCAGCATTTTTTTTTTACGAGACATACCTGATAGGGCCCAACCTTAACCTTCCAAAAATCTCCTCTTCACTCACCATACAAACACAGCATTAAACTACATTTGACGTGGACAACTTTAATGGAGCTCTACCACAAAATAGTAGCTTAACGCTGCTGTTTTTCGTATAGTGAGTGTAGAGAACCCTTTTTACTGTAAACGCGGCAGTCCATCGTAGTCCAGTGACCCATCTGCATTTTTTGTAATCAAGGATAGATGTAGATGTCTATGGGCCGCAGCAACCACTTACCATCAGGTTGACTGTGTGCTCGTTTGTCACCCTATCCTATATAAAAAGTTAGATTTGTTAGACCTGAAAAGTAACATTTGTTTTGTTTTTATAATTAAGAACACTTCGAAAAATCAATTTCAAAAAAAACTTGCTACACTACACAATACTAAAATCGACTAAAATACTTACTATAATATCAACTGTCAAAATGACGTCGATAAAGCAGCGCCATTTTGACCATTTGTTATTTGATTGACTGATGAAGAGCTATCGTATCAGAGAGCCTTCAATTAAAGCAAGGCTGTAATTTTTGTGTTATAAGAAAGTGAACATATTAGCCGGATGACCATATTACCCTCGCGCAATGTTATTAAACAATATAACTTACAAATTTAAAACAATATTTCCACAATTATTTCTTCTGCAGCAGCAATGCGCCGAGTACCAGCTAATAAATTATAGAGATCATATTTTAAAGTAGCTTGCCATACATACCTACTACAAGTATTACTCTTCCAATATAACTCACTTATTTTCGTTTGACAGAGGGACTTTGATGTATGTTGTATTGGTACAAGACTTTTAATATATAAAGTTGTTCAGCTTCACTATTACTTAAAGAAACATAACGCCTCAAATCTTCAAATGCTGCGATGTGTATTATTATTGTAAATGTGTGTATCTATCGCGTGACTGCCTCGTTGGTCTAGTAGTTATAGTACTGCGACTGCTGATCATGAGGTCCCGGTTGCGAATCCCGGATCGGGCTAGTAAAAAATCAGTTTATTGAAGTTTTCATCAATAAATTCTCAGTCAGTTAGAGTCTGGAAGTTGACGGTGTCTCATCCTCATGCCTCGGAAAGCACGTAAAGTTGGTCCTGCGCTTGATCTGTCTGCGCTCGTGTCGGTTTACCGTCCCATGGGACTATGAGAATGAGGGAATAGAGAGTGCACCTGTGCTTGCGCATACACTTGGCACTATAATCCTGTCCTGCGCCGATGGCTAATCTCCATTGAGGCTGGCCGCCGTAGCCGAAATTCGGTCTGGAGGACATTAAATGCGTGCGTTGAATAAAAGTATATAAAAAAAGTATGGAAATTATTGAATTAGGTCAACATAAATTTTATTTCTTTTTGATCGTCCTACACAATTGAGAATATTTTCTCGATACACTCAATACAGTGAAGTGATTTGGAATAACAATCACGTAAATCGTAGCGTCCTTTGAAGTCTTTGTCGGATTCATAATTTAAGAGGGCAAATAAGTACGCCAAAAATATCTTAGTGAAAAAGTCAAAATTTTCTGATCATTGATTTGTGAAGTTACAGAGGAATCAAAGAATTTAGCTTTAGTCAAATGGGGAAAGATGTTTAACTTTAGCAGAATTTTTTTATAGCGACAGTAACCTAATGGAAAGGTGCGGACCGCGAACTCAAAAGGTCGCGGGTTCGAACCCGCCATTCAACTACTATCGTGAACCACTCTTAACACAATTATTTTAAGGCTTTCCAGGAGTGGTTTAAGGAATATTAGTAATGTGAATAGCATTGCTGTTATTTAAAAAATCCCTTAAGTAAAAATTCTACTTTTACATGAAAATTAGAATGTCAATGTAAAATACTAAGTAACTTCATGTATATTATAATATAATGTACCTACCTTTAGGTGAACTTAACGCCTGAGGCATTTTCTACCAGTCAACCTTCGGGTGATGCAGAGATAATATGAATTATGTGTAGAAGTTGATAATAGATAGAAACAGTGTAATAGTATAAAAATTATTAGTATAGTACTTAAATAATAGTATAGTTATAAGTTAATAAATATAAAACAAAATAAAACATGTACCTATACATAAATCTACGTATTAGAAAAATATTTAATGAATATAATTTAAGATAAAATATTTTTTTCCCGTTCTAAGTTCAATAATGAGTGCGTTCCAATAACAGACTTTACAGTGAAGGACCAATGCAAAAACCTAGATATAATATGCGAATATGTGACATCATCATCATCATCATTATCAGCCCAAGGCAGTCCTCTGCCGGACATTGGTCTTTACCAATACGAGCCACTTGATATTAGGTTTCACGCAAGGTTTCACGCATCCAGTTCCTGCCAGCTTGCTTATTGTTGTATATTTAAAAAAAATTAAGATAAGTGGCGAGATTGGTATCAATTTCGAACAAATGAGGGCTACGGGTGCGTTGTTTCTTCTGATGACTTAGATGCAATATGTCACAGACTGTAATTATACGTTATCACAGGCTACTTATTTAGTCCTTAATAAATCGTTAAACAGTGTTATGGCGGTGTAAGAATATTCACTACCCCATATCATTCCACTACCCCATATCCTTCCACTACCCCATATTATTCCCCTACCCCATATCATTCCACTACCCCATATCATTCCACTACCCCATATCCTTCCACTACCCCATATCATTCCACTACCCTATATCATTTCACTACCCAATATCATTCCACTACCCCATATCATTCCACTACCCCATATCCTTCCACTACCCCATATTATTCCACTACCCCATATCATTCCACTACCCCATATCCTTCCACTACCCCATATCATTCCACTACCCCATATCATTCCACTACCCCATATCCTTCCACTACACCATATCATTCCACTACCCCATATCCTTCCACTACCCCATATCATTTCACTACCCCATACCATTCCATTACCCCATATCATTCCACTACCCCATATCATTTCACTACCCCATATCATTCCACTACCCCATATCATTCCACTACCCCATATCATTTCACTACCCAATATCATTCCACTACCCCATATCATTCCACTACCCCATATCCTTCCACTACCCCATACCATTTCACTACCCCATATCATTCCATTACCCCATATCATCCCACTACCCCATATCATTTCACTACCCCATATCATTCCACTACCCCATATCATTCCACTACCCCATATCATTCCACTACCCCATATCATTTCACTACCCAATATCATTCCACTACCCCATATCATTCCACTACCCCATATCCTTCCACTACCCCATATCATTCCACTACCCCATATCATTTCACTACCCAATATCATTCCACTACCCCATATCATTCCACTACCCCATATCCTTCCACTACCCCATATTATTCCACTACCCCATATCATTCCACTACCCCATATCATACATTGTAGTATGAGATAACAGAGGGAAACAAATCAGGAGATAGGTGGCAGCGTTTCCGAATAACAACAAAAATAAAAAAAACTGTTGTTGCTGACGCGCTTGCTATGCGTGGCAACTATGGGAAATATCCCCCTACGAGGCAATCCATGGGGGAGGCCTATTTTGAGCAGTAGCCTTTAATAGACTGTAACGATAAATCTTTAAACAGTGAAAACTTTTTAGTTTTAAAGCTCAAAGCCATGCGCAACGTGGTCCCTCATTATTCACATAAACAAGAGTGATTATGGGTTGGCTGGGAGGCTGTGTGCAAAAGTACACTTTGGATTGTTCTGAGTTCTTTCGTGGAGCGCTCAGCCGAGCTCATTACAGTACAACTTGGTATAAACGCGATAACTTTTATGTTATTGCGAAACTGTGTATATTCGTTGTTTACTTTACAGAGTAATCAATCATCGCTCACAGCATTAGGGCAAAAGTTCTAAACGAAACTCGCGAATGTAGAATTAATGTTTGCGAACGAATGCGCGTTGAGAAATTTATTACGAGGGTAAATTTTATTTATCATGTAATTTTAATTTCCACACTTACTTCAATAAATATAAGTTGCTTAAACTGCTGTATTCCCTCTGTCTAGTATACTTAAATTAGAGAGCCTGTAAAATTACCGGCTGCGAGACATTCCATATTACATCATCCAGAAATAGAAATTAAGAAATACTATAACATGATCTCACAGAATACCAGCGTAATATAGTAGCTTAACGCTGCTGTGTTTCGTGTGATGAGTGTAGAGAACCGGAGACCCTTTTTACTGGAAACGAAGCATTCCGTCTTAGCTCTCACAGGTGACAACGCATCTGCATTTTGATTCGTAATCGAGGATAGATATAGATGTCAATGGGTGTGTCTGGCAGAAAAAAGCGCTAGCAAGCACTTACTAGCGCTAAAATAGTTTTAGGCCAGGACACGATTGCTACTTCAGTAGCGTTGACACAATCCGCCATTTTGCTTATTTCGTTTGTTTGTTTTGAAGTAGAGTTTATAAGTTGTTTTTTGCAATATTAGTAGTAATATAATACAATACAATAAATAAGTAATATAATACATTTTATTAAAAATTCATGATTTGTAAGTTTTCAATATGAATACTTCACAAACATATATTTAAATTAGGTTAAGTTCCCCGGTTAAAACTAGCATCGTGTCCTAGAGGAAAATAGCTACTTACGATTTGACAGCGCTTACCGCTTGCGATCGCCATTTTGCTTACAAGCGCTTGCTAGCGCTTTTTTCTGCCAAACGCACCCAATGGGCCACAGCAACCACTTACCATCAGATGAACAGTATGCTCGGTTGTCACTCCATCCAATAACTTTTATTTTTATTTTTAGCGCCATTCTCGGCATGCCATTTTACTGACGATTCTATGCGAGTTGTATTGAGCCGGCAAACATAAAATTGTAAAGCATAAAATTTTTACTTAGACTTAAAAATTTACCTATGTTCTTTATTAAGACATACTTAATAAATCTATGTACATTGGACGAAATGCAAGTAATCTTAAATACAGTTTATGATTTTAAAGTTTTTAATTCACGACTTTTATACCAAAGTTCTTAATAACCTTCAGTTTTCTGAAATGTCCCGAGTTCCCTTTGTAATTAAATGTTCAAGTCGGTAAGAGTTGTCATCTCAGCTCCAGTTATAGCGTCGCTCGCTCATTTCTTAAATTAAACTGATTTATGAAATTATGAAAGAGGTTCATGTCCACAACTGAACTGTTTTCGTACTGAAAAATAAGAATAAGTAAAGGGGGCGTTCAAGTATTGCGTAAGCAGGCTTAGGGGAGGGAGGTTCAATGTCTTCTTACTCTTGCTGACAAATGAAGCGTGAGTAATATTAACAAATCTTACGTAAGATAAAAAAAAATTTATAAAAAAATAAAAAATATTTTTCAAATAATAATATATATTATATATATACTAGTTGTCAATGATGTAGAAACTTGGATACAAACATACGGTGGACAATAAATGATTCTTAATTTTCTTATTTTATTAACACACTAATACTGTAATTTAAAAATTAATTGTCGTTTACATTTTAATATTCCTATTTTATAAAAGTTTTGAAAAAAATCTTACGTCTTATCATTTGGTAGAGAGGGAAGTTCGCAATTTTCTTATTTTTGCTTATACAGGATGGGGTGTTTACGTAATACTTGAACGCCTCCAAAGCATTTTATCAAAATATTGTACTATTTATGATGTTGAAACATGAGATATTCGAATACGTTAGAATTTAGAAAAAAAGAGACAAGGAAAAGTCATTCTACTTAAAACTACATATCAATGTATAATTCGTAGTCGTTATAATTGGGCAGATGATTTGATCTGATGATCGTAATCTGTCTGGGCATTTCGTGATACGCCTCCATTTCATGATTTGGCCGCTAAAATATAACTTTGACTGCTGTTAATATATCTAAAATACGACAGCATCTATTTAGTAATAACAGCGACAATAAGTTCAGCTGCTTTATATCTTTCTCTTCGATCGCATTATATTATCCCTAAGCTCCTTTTTTCTTTGCCTGTTGTATAATAAAAAATCTAACGTCGTAATCGGGTGATACGTACATTATGTGACACTATCCAAATTCTCCTTATATTTATTACAATTTTTTTTTTGTTTCAGGTAATAAATAACTATTCCGCAGTATCATCGATCATATACAGAATATGACATTGGGGTGCCTGAGTAAGTTACGTTAGAGTTTAAGAGTGTTCTATGTGAGGCCGAGTTTGCGCTTAAACTGATATTTTTATTTATGTCCAATCTAATAGTTATGAGTTTGTCAAGAACGAATAAGTTACTAGTACTAGTGGTGGTGCGTGCGTTCAAGGCTACCGACATTATTCGCGGGTTTTGGCCGTTGTCGTTAACTTGGAGGAAAACGACATCTAGATCAAATATGAAGAACTACACAGAACTACTACACTACCGGTTTTTTATAGCTTTTTTAAGCTTTTTGGATATTATTTTTTACGCGTTTTGCGTAAATCGGACCAAAAATTAATATTCAAAAACTGAAGGTAGCCGGTCTAACTATGACATTGGGACGTCAAACATCTCAGCGGGTATTAAAAATAAGTAAAAGTAATTAATTAAACGCGGTAGAATCCGTAAATTTACTTTTATTCAATTTCTTAAGCTTTTTAATTAATTTTCTATCTACATAACTAGCCATATAATATAATGCCGTATAAAATAATATCGGCGTAAGAGAATCCTTTAACTCATTTCGTCCTACGGATTCCGTAAAAGCGATTACGTCTTATGATCTCCAATAGATGGCGTACCTATAACTATCCCAGGTAGGCCAAACGTAAAATTTGGCTCTGAAATCGCTAATATACCTGCTAAGCGTAGCTACTGTGGTAGGTTTTCCCTAAAATTATAGAGGGCCATGTTCAACTATGGATTTTTACAGTATGATGTAGAAAAATTAAAACTTAAAGTTTGATGAAAGATCAAACGATCGAAGTTGCAATTATACGGAAATATGGCGCGGAAATATGAAAATTAGCCGAAGATCGTGAATTTAAGCAAGTTTATATTTAAATAGGGGTGCACTTAGCCGTTTGAGCGCGTTGTCGCAAAGTGCCATTAGCGTGGGAGTCACGTTGTAGACGCCGCCGTATTAACGACCCGCTTTATTTTATTTTTAAAATTTTCATTATTTACGCTTTAAACTGCCATTGTGTTTCTTTTTCACTGTTGGATATTTAGATATTACTAGTTTGTGGTAACAATTGTATACATAATTATTAAGAGGGTACCTTGAAAATGAATCGTAGTTTTGGGGACGTGGCTTAGCCCGTCGTCGATGAAGCTCACGGACAACTAAGAGGTTATCAAATTAAAGTGATGCAATTGGAAAGAAAGATATTTAATTACAATTACTGTACATGAACACAGATTGTGAGATAGTTACCGCGGACACGCGCTCGGAAATAAACTATATAAGGATCAAACATTTTTAATTTTTTTACAAAACCACGTTATAGTCGATCTAAGTTCGCATATACCTTTTATAATCAAAGAAAAGGTATATGTGAACTTAGATCGATATTCATCATGTGAATATATCGATATTCACCACGTGAATATATCGATACTGTTTAAAAATTTCGATACGATATATATCGATATAGTTTTTCACTTGCCCGTCCCTATTCGTCGCTATAAACGGAATATTGGTAGCAGCTAGCCGGACACGCGATGGCCCCGTTTGCGCGCTGATCGCATGCCTGTGCCCGCTTCACCCCCTTAAAACCTACATGAACACGATACCATTTCGTCTTAAGTTTAATAAAGATTTTAAATAAATTATTGGCTTCGATGTCTAACGAAGATCTAATATGTATTATTTTTGTTTAAAAAAAAACATTAAACGTTATACTAGGATAATCTTCTGCATCGTAGAGAGGTTTTATATATATAATGCATACACATGAACAGCCAAATCCAGAAAAATTATTTGTACGTCAAACTAATTTCTACTAAGTATGCGTACTATACAATTTTTTTCAATCGAGATAATTACATATTATCGTGTTTTCTTTTATGAAATTGAAGATCATAGTCAAAAAACATATGCTAAAAATTTGGCTTGTAATCTATAAAACTTGAAGAAGTTTGTGAAATATCACCTTATAGTACTCAACCTTATAGCTCCGTGTGCAATGACTTATTGAGTTGCGGCACTGAGGGTCGCGGATTCAAATCCCGTACAGAACAAGCAATTTTATGGCCCACAACTAATATTTGTCATTATGCAATTTATATATGAAAGTTGTCTCCACTATGCAAGAGAAAATCTAATTTGGCGTTAGTCCATGTAGAA